AAAAAAAAAAAAAAGCAGCTGTGGACTGGCTCCATGGCCTCATGATGACAGCAGTCAGATTCCACATGACTGACCTCACAGTTTGAGTCCTGGACCTAATGGCTTGAAAAACATGTTTGGCCATGTTCATGCTTGGCCAAAATCCTGAAAGGAGGGAGATATGCAGAACGGATTGTGGCTGGTGTGATCATTTCCCATGGGGGTGCTTTCTTTTTTTTCTCTCTCTCTCTCTCTCTTACTTTCTGTCTGTCTCTTGTGAGCACATGCACTCTTTAGCAAATAAATAAATAAATAATAAAACAGGAAGAAAGGAAAGAAAGAAAAAGAAACAAAGAAAAGAAAAATGTAGCAGCTGTGAGAGAGAATGCCATTTCTCAATGTCCCTTGTTCTCACTAAGAGTCAAGTTTTCACTAATGGACTGTGAAGAACAGTGCAGGTGTCACTTCTAGGACTTGGTCTTAAAGGTTAGAAATAATGAATTTTATATATATATGGTTTATATATACATACACATAATTTATACACACACACACACACACACATTAACACTTAATACACACCACTCGGGCAATAGACAAAGCAGACCATCTACCAGCTCTAATGTCGCGTGCCTTCGTAGGCAGTCTGCCTGTGGCCCTAGCTGCCTTTCTGAGCTGATGGCCCTGACACAGATGCTGATTAGTTTTTCCCCCTCTTCTAAGCTGAACTAGCGTTTTCATCATTACCCTTATCAGGAATTAAGTCTATCACTTTACTTTTTCTGTTTTATGAATCTGTACTTCTTTTTCACAAATTATCTGTATTTCCATCCTCTTACTTTTAAAGTTTTATTGTTTACATTCAAACTTCTAATTAAATTAGTAGCTAATTTTTTTTCTCTCTCAGGCTGTTGATATCATGAGAAACTGGTACACTTGTAGAAAGCACTTCACATGTGTATATTACATGCTGTAAAATTATTCATAGATTTTGACCAAGTTTCTCTTCTTTTCAGAGACTGTATATTCTAAGCTATAAGAAAAACAGTATACAGGACTATTTTCACTGTAATAGCTTATAGTAAGAAACATCTAAAGGAACCCCCAAATTCAGCAATAATGTCATGCTTAAATCCTAGTACAGCTGAGGGATAGAGCATGACTTATCCATTAAAAATAATGGTTATAAATGAGATTATTTAAGGAATGTGGAAGCTTGTTTATAATCTAATGCTATATGAAACATACTAAATATATAACTGAGCATAATATGATGAGAATTATGTAAATGGTTAAAAATAATCTATAATACAAAATTAACTCATTAGAGTAATATAACAATGATTTTTTAAATTTAATTTTATTTAGTATTATAAGTTTTTAATTTGCTATGGGCCTTTGGCATGCGCATGCCTGAGAGAAAGTGAGAAAGCAAGTGGCCAGGTGCAGGACTTGAACCATGTTTGGCCACGTGGGGGTCCAGCACCATAATTTTTATAAACTTTTTGGAATGCCTTACTTCTATTTACAAAGTAAGTAAAAATTACTTACAAAGTAAGTTTTGTTGATAGCTATAAAATATGACCAAATGCCAACTTTACTTAAGATAAACCTAATCCCTCAAATTTAAGCTTAAATAAAATGTAAATATTTCTAACTTAAAACAAGTCCTTTCAATGAAGGAAGATATTTTAATTTTCATATTTTGAAGACCAAGTTTTTCTATTTTGGAAAATTGGGTCTTAGGAGCAGCCTAGAAACCATTTACATTGCTCCTACGCATTTGTTTGTGTTAGGGACACAGTTTATCTTTAACACAATGTAGTCTGCCCGAGTCCAGCCCACTCAGTCACCCACTCACAGTCTGGACTGTCAGTATCAATGACTGTTGTACTCCTTTTCTGGTCACAAAAATATTTTACATGCTACTTTCACAAAACCTTAATTATCCACAGACTTTATTTTTTTAATTTGCTATAGGGCACATGCGCTCAGCAGAGAAAGACAGAGAGACTCTAAGAGAAAGAGGGAAATGATGCTGGACATGTGAACAAGGGAAAAAAACAAATAACACAAGGAAGGGAGTACATAGGTTTATTCATGCCTTCTTAGAAAGTAGAATATTAGTACATACAGTCCCAGAGAAGAAAATGACCATACAGACTTCCAAAAAAAGGTAAATACATGAAGAAAGATTTCATGTTAACTCTTTCAGTTCATTTTAATACTTTTTGAGGAAAGCAAATGATTGTTCCATAATTTAGTTGATTTTTAAACACCAAATTTAAAATACTGGATTTATTTAAAAAAAAAAGGGAAAAATTATACTAGTGATTTGGGAAAATGTTAAAAAAAATAAAAAAGCAAAATTGGAGACCAACAGATGGTATAATGGTTACATTGTTGGGCTTTTACGTAGTAACTGTGGTTCAAGTCCTGGACCCAGCAGCTTAAAACTTGCACCAGGCACATGACACATACCTGCCCAGAATCCTAAGAGGAGACTAGAAAAGAAGGGATTGGCAGCATGGCCATCTCCCTAGGGGACAATTTCTCACTTTCTGTCTCTCTGTCTCTCCGGCAAGCCCACATGCCCTATAGAAAAAAAAAAACTCTCTTTTTTAAAAAAAAACAAAATTGTTATTTGCAAAAAAATTTTGAATTTTAAGTCAGATGACAAAGTAAATGATTTAAGAGCAGTTTGAAAATATATATGTGTAAGTATACCGTATATTGTAAAAGCATACAAATTAACCCAGTAAAAGAGACAAAGCATTTTTAATGTGAATTAATATTTTTATATCTCCACTGAAGTCTTATATGTTCAGTTAGAAGAAATATTTTAAAGTCACATTATTTGTGAGGGTTTTTTTTGTATGTGAGCTGTAATAAAAAGTCACTTAAAATAATCATAAATTACATAAGAAAAGATATTGCATGGTAGTCTAGTGGGAATTCACATAAATCCAGTGACACTAACAGCTTGTTGTAGTTCTTAATATAATTAAACTATCTGCTGTCCTGTTGTGAGTTAGTCTCAACACCACAGAACAAACCAACTTTTAAAATTTGGGGCTCAACAGCAACTTTCTGGGGATCCACAGATCATGGATAAGTTTGTCTTATAAGCTGTAAATAAACTTGAAACAAATCTCAGGTATTCCAGGGATGAAACCCAAAAAATGGATACTTTTTCCTTCTGCATAAAGCCCTAATCCCTAAACTTATTTAGACATTCAGAACTGATGGATAAATATCTTTGATATATACTAAGTTACAGTATTCAGTGAATTGTTTTGTTCCTGTTCATGATCAGCATTTCAGTATACATTTCTACAAAAGGGTAGGTGAGTGTAATTTCCAAACCTTTCTTCTTTCATATCTTTATTGTAAAACAGTTTTCTATCTACAATTAATTAGAATAGTGATATCCTGTGTTCAGCTTTTAGTGCTAAGAGCAATTGCTACATGATAGTAATTGGCAGGCTTAAATCTGTAGGTCAGATCCTCCTTCCACTGGCTGGAATCACATAAATTTAAAAGAGCGTAAACATTAGATGATAATGTTTCCTCTTACTACAATATTATTGTTAAAATTTTACACTAGCTAAAATGAAAAAAAAAAGATTTTGCCTCTCACTTTCAAAAACATCAATATTGCTATATAAAGCAAAATAACTGGCAAATAGTAGGTATTCAATTAATGTACACTAGATGAATTTACATTTTCCCTTAGAATAGTAGAGTTTGTTTCATCTAAATATATAAGAAACACTACTTTTCACTTTATACTCATATGCTTTATCAGAAGTTTAAAATTTTGGCATCCATAGGTAAGCAGCATTTCAGATAACCACATTTAATTGTAGACTTTTCAGAAAATACTAAAATCATTGGTCTTAATTAGTAACAACTGCCACTACTATTTTTTAAATATGTAGTTAATTTTATAATACCCTTTGAGAAAATTAAGAACATAAGAGTTAAGAACTAGAGTTGGAAGGCAGTCCAAGAATTAATGATTAATGTACTACGCTGTTTTTTTTTTTTTTTTGGTATCTATTTGTATATCAGGAAATGTGTGCTACAAATATATAGAGAGTTTATATCTTCTAATGGAATATTAATGCACAAATGGATACACTGATATGTAGGTGAGGAAGTACAACAGATATAATAGATATAGGATTTGTTTTTATTTCGTTTCATATTTGAACTGTTAGACTGAAACTACTGTCTTCAGCATATTTCTGGCCTTTTCTTGGCTGTTTTTAGTATTTTTAATTTTTAAAAAGGTTGAGGGGTGAACAGTTGCATGTATAACTGCCCTTCGCAAGTATAGGATCCATAACCTTGATTTGATTACAGAGTCTAACCTAAAGTTGCAAATGAGGTAGACCTTGAATTTTTTATTCTGATTTTTTCCACAATTTGTGTGAGACTCTACCTAATGTCTCATATTCAGTCTCCTACTTAACATTTTGATCTTCACTATCTTATAGTCATATTTGGGCTACCAATTATATCAGAAAATGAATAATGTGAGTATTACCACCTATAGGTAGAAAATTCATCATACTCGTTTATGAAATAGAAAAGCATAATCTAAAAAAAAGTTCTTTTTTCACCTCCTACATCCATCATCATCAAATTTTTACCTAAATACTGACTGATTTGTTATTTAATATTGACATTTCGGATGCCTATACCTTAAAATAAAGCATTTATTTAAACTTTTATCATTTTTGTCATATTACTATTTACATTTAATATATTATTCAAAAATGCCATTTATTAAAATTCTTAGATTCCATAAAGGTTAAAGAGACCTGTTAAAGCCAACCAACTTAGTCCTGTAATAATCTAACTGTTGTATCTTAGTTTACCTCTGGAGTGGGGAAATTTACCAATGTTTGTTCCCAGGAATGAAAAAGCGTCCCTTTACAGTCTATTATCATCAGTCTTTGGTTCTGTGCCTTCTCTGTAATGACACAGGTCTGTTTCTCCTTTATTCTTTGCAGAGTGCTGCTGCAGCTCCCAGCCCAGTGCTAGGAAACATTCCCCCAGGAGATGGCATGCCAGTAGGTCCTGTACCACCAGGGTTCTTTCAGGTACTCAGAGAAACTCGGGCTAGGAATGTTAAGGCAAGAAACTCCTGCTGGATTTTATCTAAAGAGATGGAGTATGAGGCTTTTGTAATTCGTGAGGTAAACAGAGTGCCATGCAGCCAAATCTTGATTATTCAGCCCTTCGTTCCTGTGTCTGATTTGTTGTTAAATTATTTGTTGATTTGGCTATTTCAGTATCCACTTAAGAAACAAAAGGAGTGAAATGCATATTATCCCACTGAATTAACGGTGATAAATATTTTGTGGGAGAAGAGATGTGAGATGAGGTGAATTTTTAACTATCCAAATCTCAATGATCTAAAAATAATCAAGACTTGGCTACACTTTCAAAATACAGCCAAATCATATTCTTTTCATTCATTAAGAATTATATGCTATATTAAAATTTTTAAAAGAATCATCTTTATGATTTTTAAATGAAACTTTTATTCATATCATTACATAACTTCAAAATCAGATTTTCAAATATATGATAGTATTTAAAATTTCAGAAAGACCTTATTTTAGCAATGATATATCAATTTTAAAATTACAACACATCATTATAATTTTATGGCATCCACATCTTAATCTGCTAGCTTTCTAAATGAAGCCAACATAGATAGGAAATTTATTTTTTTAATATGTAGTTAGTTTTATAATACCCTTTGAGAATATTAAGAACGTATGAGTTAAGGACTAGAGTTGGAAGGCATTCCAAGAATTACTGATTAATGTATTATGCTATATTGTTAGTAAATTAATTACATTAGGTAATTTTAAGCTAACATGTCACTTCAGGTTATGCATTTCAAAGTTCTTGATAATCATTTTTGTTAGTTAATTTATACTGTCATGGCAGTGTAGATCAATGTACTCATAAATGTGAAATGAGGAAATAAAACTAAACATAATTTTCCAAAATACATCAATTGAATAAAAAAGACCTTAATTAAAACCTAGTACCAACTCTAGTGTTTTAGTTTCTAAAGTTTAGGACATAGTTCTTTGCTCTGTAATCATGTCCAAGGAGTCTAGAATATTCAGAAGTCTTCTTGGAGTGCACAATCTCTATAGGGAGCCCTTTCTTGGAATGTAGGAACAGCTTATAACTCTTGACTATTAATTAACCACTATTTAAGGTAATGATAATAGCTAACAAATAATAATTGCTTACTATGTGCTATGTTTCATTCTCAATGCTTTACACATATAACCTCTTAATCTTCACAATAACCTGAGATATAAAATATGTATTGTTTTTACTGCCACTGTATATATGGAGAAACTAAGGCATCGAGAGATAAGTGATTTGCACAAAGGCAGAAAGTGACAGTACTGGAATTCTTATCAAGCAGTTTAAACTTTTGCTATTGAACTTACCTTTTAAAGTTCATAGTTGATTGTCATTCCTGAAGATATTTCTACCTTATTTTTCCCTCATGCTCTTCTTTCCATTGTCAAAGATAGATTGGAGTTACGGAATAAATCAGAAGAGTTTATCTATCTGAGAGTTAGTAGAAGCTCTCTAAGTGACACTTCAAAAGAGGGGTTAGGGACCAGCAGATAGCATAATGGTTATGTGGCTGGACTAGCACATGGCCGGCTGCAGTTCCAGGCCCAGCCCCGGTGGTTTGAAACTCACCCTGGGTACATGTGCTTGTGTGCCCAAGATCCCAAGAGGAGAATGGAGAAGGGATTGCAGCATGGCCATCCCCCCACGCAGTGATTTCTCACTTTTTCTTTCTCTGTCTCTCCTCTGAGCACATGCTCCCTACAGCAAAAATATCTTTTAAGAAAAGGGGTGGGGGATAGGTTAAGCTGAATATAAATCCATACTTTTAAAATATATTTTATAGATTGACCTATTTTCCCTTTACTATCTTAACGTTTCAGTCTTAAGAGAAGTTAACCAAGAGTTAACTTGGCTTTAATTATTCCAGTGTGCTGAATATTTGCTTATTATTAGAGGCCAGGCACTGTGGTATCTAAAAATGAGCTGTTCCATGTGTACCTTCTGAAGCTCAATGTCTAGCAGTGAGGCATTATTAAATATAACCATAATATAGCAAGATAAAGATTGTAACAGAGTAAAGTATAAATTTCTGTAGTGACCTAGAAGAGAGTTATTGTATCTGCCTGAATTAGAGATAAGAGTGGATAGGAATAGTTGTTCAGCAAAACAAGAAGAGGAATGATGGTCTAGAAAGGCTAGAAATGACATTCCAGAATAGTATAAGCAAACGGGGAACAGCATCAAAGTAACCTGTGAAGAGGTGTTCCGAGAAACATATAGAGAAGGTAGTCAGGGGAGCAGGAGTTTCTGGACATGAAACTAGAAAGATACGCTCTAGTCTGTTGAGAAGGGCCTTATATGTCATGTGTAAGAACTTGAGTCCTCATTAAATAGGCATGTAGGAGCCCTCAGAGGTCTTAAGAAGGGCAGTAACTGAATTTATAGTATACAGTGGACTCGGGTTTTGTTAGGTCCTTGTGGGACAGCCATATATAAAAATCTCTGCCCTCAAAAAGCCTACCAGGAGAAGAGAGAGAAGAAGCCATGAGAATAAAGAAGAAAATTGTCCATATTAAATGGATGGAGTATGCCCTTAAATCAGGCGACCGCCAAACCCAGTCTTGGGAGAGGCACAGTCAAAATAGTAAGTGAAATCCAGATTGGCATCTACAGATGAGTTAGGAGTTAGGCAGAGGAATCAGGGTAAGAGGGGAAGAACATTCCAGGAAGACAGAAAATAATTCACAATGTCACTGAGGAGAAAGGAGGGAGAAACCAAGTATTTCAGGGAAACTGGGGCTTAATTAGCTAAAGGGAGAGTAGCTTGTAACATCTTGAGAAGAAGCTTAAGGGGCCTTGTAGGTTAACAAAGAATTTGAAATTGATCTTTAGGGCAGTAACAAGCTATTGAAGGATTTTAAGTAGGTGAGAGTCATGTTTATATTTTCATTTTTAGAAGAATCACTCTAGCTATAGAGTAGCCAGATTGCAGAGAAACAAGTCCTGAGGTAGGAAGACTATTTAGGAGGCTCTCACGGTAATCCAGGGAGATTTAATGGTGGCCTTAACTAAGATAGTGGCTATGAGTGTGAAGAAAATGAACAGATCTGAGAGACAGAAATAAATGCGGGCATGTGAATAAAATAATTCAAGCAGAATATCCTGGTTTCTGGCTCTAATCTGGGCAGATGAGGGTACCAGTTTCTGAAATAAAGGCCATAAAATGAGGAATAGATGTGAGGTGGGGCAAATGACGTTCCCATTGGCCCTCTAGTTAGAGGTTAAACTGAGGGGCCCATAGATTTGAAGTCTAGAAATGACCTAAACTGGAGATGAAAATGTCCACGTCATCATCACATTAGGACACTTGACTCCACAGGGCTGGATTAATTGTCCAGGGAGAAAGCCCAGAATGACGATAGGAAGATATGTATCAGAGCCACCAAAAAATACTGACATTTGAAAAAGGAACAAAAGGAACAGAACCCATTACAGAGACCAGATATAGGTAGGCCTTTATAGTAACCAAAGGATGCCCACTCTCCCTAGAAATGCCTCTCTGAAATACTGAAAGACTAAAACAGTTAAAGTATGTTATTATCTTTTGGCACAGGTTGTGATGGGATTAGATGACTCAAGTATTTCATAAATATCAGCATTTGTTTCCTGCAGAGATTAGTCTATACTTTAGCATGATTCTAGCCCAAATGTTAATGAAGAGTAGCTGCCTTTTATGAGTAGATATAGCAGCAGTCATTCATCAATTCCAAAGAGATACTGACCTCCAAGAATGACTTAAATCTGGAGAAGAAAGTGTGGGGTATCATTTCTGAGTTTGTCACTGTAATAACTAAGATCAGACATAAAAGTGGTTATTAGCTAAATGCAAGGCAAGGGAGAGTGGAAGCAGCTGGAAAAGAGCTGGCTATGCTTTCTCTAAGTGACTACATCAAAACACTAGCTAGGATCGAGGCTTAGGCTCTCCAAAAAAATCCAGTGTCTTGCATCTCTAAGAATCCCTGGTTCAAGACACTTAGTCAAAAGAGTGCTAAACAGTTTTCAGCCTCTCAGCTTTGTTGCAGCTGCTAAGTTCTGAAGAGTAGTTACCTCCCATGGCCTTTGGCGTTTAGATAGAGTATGAGAATACTTTGTATTTATATCTCATCGAATAAATGCAGAGCTTATTCACAGACAGCTAGTGGGATCAGACCTAAAAAAGGACTGAAACTCTTAGTATTAAGTAAATCAATTAAAGAATAATAATTTAGGGCTAGGCCTATACTCAGTGGTTATGCACTGTGCAAGAGGAGCCAAATCCCCTGTAACTGACAGTTACCACTTGAAAAACACACTGGGTGTGCACGCCCAATCCTGATGGGATGGAAGAAAAGGAATGCAGCATGACCACACCCCACTGGGGGGTGTTTTCTCAGTCTTTCTCTCTTTCCTCCCTCTTGCAAGCATATGCAACTAAAAAAACTTGAAAAAAGAAAAATATTTATAATTATATCAAACACCAGCGTAAGTAATTTTAAGCTCTACTCAGTTGGTGATCACAATATAAGAAGTGCATTGAGGGACTAGCAGTTGGCATAATGACTATGTTGCTGGACTCCCATGGAGTTGATCACGGTTCGAGTCCCAGACCCAGTGGCTTAAACTCACGCCGGGCACGTGTGCATGCGTGTCCAAGATCCTGAGAGGATAATGGAGCAAAAGGAATTGTGGCATGGCTATCCCCCCTGGAGGTGGTGATTTCTCGCTTTCTGTGTCTCTGTCTCTCTCTTTCTGGTGAGCACATGCGCCCTATTGCAAAAACTTCTCAAAAAAAGTACATTGAAACATTTCTTCTAAATAGACAAATACACACCTTTATTTCCTGTTAGCATTGTACTATAAACCCTCTTTTTCTATAAATGTAGATTAAATTCTTTACCAAGTAGAAGTATCTATAAATGTAGAGTAAATTCTTTACCAAGTAGAATTA